ACAGACGTTGGTAGATTAACAGAACTAAAGCTAGAGAACCTTCCTCATTCACTATGTTCTCCAGACTTAGATAGGGAACAATATCAATCCCAAAAAAGCATTAAAGAATGCTTGTAAAGAGTTCATCGATTCTTATGCAGCAAACTTAGGCAAATATTTTGTATAATAAAAGTTTTAAAATTTTTTTCTCATACAAATCGACAATTTCTGCGATAAATACGTTTTAAAATTATACGACTACATAACTATTTATGTTTGGCTTACATGAATGGCATTTCTTATTTAATAGAGGGTTTGTAGTTCATGATATCTTAAAAGTTTTCAAAAATGACTACTGAATGAGTATTTTCGACGTTTACACAGTTCGACATAACTAAACGGTACGTTTGCATGGAGAAGTATTTTGTGAGGAATGCGGGACTCTTTAAAAGTTTTCTTAAAATCATTTTATTAATTATAAAATCAATTTCTTTTTCTAAAAATTGTATGAAAATAACAGTTATGACGTCATAGCTTCTCATACTCAAATAAAGATCTATTTAAATATTTTTTAATAACAGAATTAAGCCAAGCCCAGAGCCGTGGTAGCTCAGATGGTTAGCGCTCGCTGTAAATTTCACAGTACGCGAGCAAACCGGGTTCGATCCCCGCCGGCACCAATGAAATTGTTAATTTCAATTTTAAGTGCTGATTTACCACGTGCTCGGCGGTGAAGGAAAACATCGTGAGGAAACCTGCATGTCAGAGAAATAAGAAAAAAAATATTTCGAAGACATGTGAAGTTCGCCAATACGCATTAGGGCAGCGCGGCGGACAATTCCTTGCCCTAAAACCTTCTCAGAAATGAGCGGAGGCCTGTGCCCAGCAGTGGGACATATATAGGCTGTAACTTTACTTTAATTTACTTTTTAACAGAATTAAACTAACAAAACATTTGTATTTTTAAACCTCTAAAAGTAAGTAGTAGTAGCAAATTCGAATAATATATGATGTAGTGAATTATATTGATTGCGTCATATTTATGAAATATTTTTAAAAATGTATTTAAAAACAAGCTTTTCAAACAGGCGTTGCAAACGTCTGAACATGGGTGCATCATCAATTCAGGTTCGTGGTATTATTAACGAATAAGGTAGGTGAGGGTTATATGTAAAGTAAAATAAAGTTACAGCCTATATACGTCCCACAGCTGGGCACATGCCTCCCCTCATTTCTGAGAGGTTTTTAGGGCAAGGAAGTGTCAACCGCGCTGCCTCAATGCGTGTTGGCGAACTTCACATGTATTCGAAATATTTTTTTCATATTCCTCAGACATGCAGGTTTCTTCACGATGTTTTCCTTCACCGCCGCGCACGTGGTAAATCAGAACTTAAAATTGCAATTAACAATTTCATTGGTGCCGGCGGGGATCGAACCCGGGTTACTCGCGTTCTGTTATACTTACAGGGAGCGTTAACCATCTGAGCTACCACGGCTTTTAGGGTTATACATATGTACATCTTAAAATTTGCCGCCCTGACCAAAAACTATGAGCAGGACAGAGACAAAAAACACAAAGTCGTATACTGTAACTAAAATATTAAGAAATAAACAAACCAGCTTTGGCAATTATCAGAAACACTTTGAATAATCCACTTAAAAAAACTAACTACACTACACATTCATTATTTTATTGAACGATAAAGAGCTATCGTATTCCAAAGTCAAAATTCCATCTAGGCATACACAGCAAATTTTGAACCTGGGCGGCATACAAAGAAAGCAAAATAAAAAAAAGCTAATACGACCGGAAATGAATACATACTTAATTACGATTATAGCCCACTAAACCTTTACATCAGATGTGGTATACTTAGGTATGTGCTTTTTAATTTTAATTTGAGATATTTTTATCTGTATTGTTTTAGTAAGAGTAAGTTAGGGTAAGATTGGACTGTTATCAGTGTATGAAAGTCCCTTAATAAAATGATAATTAAAAAAATATTATAACCTGTCAGATTTAATTATATGCAAAGAGTATGTATATAAATCACTCTGTTTTACGTATATGTGATTAACCGAATTTAAATAAAAAGTACACTTTAATTTCTTTTTTAACCATGTTAGAGAGATGTGGTAATTAAAATTTAGTCTAATTTTAATAAAGGCGTATATTTAAATAAAACGAGGAAAGTGCGCTAGACTGTGGTCGAATGTAGAATTCTACGTTTATGTTTTTTTTTTCTCTGCGGGAGATGGGAGCGAGGCAAGCACCGCGACGTTCTACAGTTAAGCAGTTACGTTATAATAAGTGACAGGTTGTAACTTCACGTTGTATGGAATCGCGATTCGTGACACAGAACAGAACACTGCAATGACCATTTAAAGGTTGAATAAAACTATTATTTACGGATTTTATCGCGTTTAATTACTTTAATTTATTCTTATTATTATCCCGACGTTTCGGGTGCTTTACAGCGCCCATGGTCACGGGGGGGGGGGACTGAGATGTTTGACGTCCCAATGTCATAGTTAGTCCGGCTACCTTCAGTTTTTTAATATTAATTTTTGGTCCGATTTACGCAAAACGAGCTTATAGTATCATGAAGTATTGCAGTGGTATGCTTGGGTTTGGGTTCAATTTTGTTGATTATAGGATCCCAAGCAGATGGTAGCACCCAACCATCTTCTCTATTGAAATTTGGATGTTTTTTAATTTCAATAGCCTCGCGTATCATCCTTGGTAGGAATCGGTGTTCTTTTGCGAGAATTTGTGGTTTATCAAATCTAATGTAATGGTGGGGACGATCTTGTAAATAAATTTAAGAAATCATTACATTTAAAGGTTTTAAACATAGGATAAAATAATTCACTTTGTTAATGCAGTTAAAGTTAAAATAACAGACATTGTCAATATTAGCGGAATGCTTACGAAAACTGCTGTTAATAATTAATACATTGATAGTGTGATCATAAAAAGTGAATGTGGTCTACAAATATACACATTATGAATGACGTTGAAATCTCACAGTGCATTACTTACCATATACTGGAAATTGAGATCAAAGAGTGAAAAGTGAAAACATGGCAAGTTGTTTCATCGTTTTTTTTTTTTGTCGTACGCTAATGACGCTATTATTGCGTTGTTCTCATGCATAAGTCTAAATAGAAAAGCGATAATTAAACGATCGCAGAAGAGGCCACAGAATAATTGGAGCGAACCCACCCGATATAATCCGCACTGAAATAGTGTAATTTTTTGAGAAATTTCTAAAGATTATAACTATTACTTTAGGTATTTTCATACTTTTTACGTGATAGAGCTTTATACGTATTTGATGTTTCAAATCTATGGCAACTAAACTAAACGTCTAAAGTCATTGCGTCGGGCGTTACTCACGGTGAGGTTTTACACTACTTTGTATATGCCTATTTATAACATTTCTTTTCTTTAAATTTGGAACAATGAAATCGAGTAAAATATTTTTCATACCATTTTATAATTATCCAATATTAACTAAGCGATATTCAATTCACTAGTCAAAAATGGGAGTGAGTCATACAGATGTCATTTGATACTCCTGTATAATATTTCTCTTTTACATAATAAAACGTTACCGTTTCAGTTTGAACAACTGGATTATTCTCTTTACGTTTATAGTAAACCAACATAAATAATATATCTTTGTAGTCACTTATAACATCTCACTTTTATATATCATAATCGGTTTTAAGTTTTATTTTTAAAGTTTTTATTTCAAGAATGATTAGTAGGGTGAATATGAATATCATTTTAAAACTTAGGAGGCAATTCAATAGACTTGATAGATTTTTTCGAGTATTCCATGTCTACTGCGTGTACTCATCACATACGTCACATAGACGTATGTGATGAGTGATTGGCTTTCAAAAATCTTAATTGAGAAGAACGTAAAGAACTCTTCAAAATGTTTCTTCTCGCGAGATTTGAATTTGATTAACCGATTGTCAAACGAAACATCTCGCGCTTCAACATCGTTAGAGGCATTCTTTCTTGCTGCTATCGTTTTCTCCCGGCTGCAGTTCTGTTTATGTTGTGGTTTTTGCGTCAACGATTACTTTTTATACACGCAACAATGAACGCGCGACTCTATTTTCATTTCATTCGTAATACTATTCCATATTCATATAATGGCATCATATTGTGTGTAACTGTGCATTTATAAGTAATATACCTAAATAATATATATACAAATTAAATAAAAAATTCATAACCAATCCCACCGTAACAAAAAAAAATCTTATCAGTATTCGACCTTATTTCTCTATTCTGCTGCTTTATGTTAAGAAAAATTAATCCTTGAATGGAAACATATTTGTACCGATATCCATATACAGGTAAGTTTTAAACCTTATAAGTAAACAAGTTTTAATGTGTGAGTTCGCACCGCAACCTTAATGGAGAGACGAGTGAACTCGCGCGGCGATAACACCGGTCGGCTTGCCATTTAAGATTTGAATATTGCATAAAAAGTATCGAATTGGGGTCGAATATGCATCGCATCTATTTTAGTCTAGGCTTTTTTTATTGCCGCGTGAGTTCACCTGTTATATTTCGTGCAATTTATAATGCAATTCGCTTTGTAAATTTAAAAAAATGCGAGCGAAGACAGTGAGATCATTATTTTAAAAGTTTCAAAAGAAAAGTAAGCGTGGAAAGTATGCGGGGGCGCATTCCTTTTTGAAACGATACGCGGGGCACGGGAGTGCCGCCCGGCACCCACGCGCCTCAGAATAGCCACACTATCTCGCTCGCGGTGGAAAATCGCTATGCACAAATAAAGTTACGCGCCAGGAAGAAACTTAAGAAGCCTGCCAATCCCAGTCGCACAGCATAACATTTGACTGCAACGATTGGCGAGTATATTAAGGGTGTACTTTAGGCAAATAAAGTTCGCAATAGCTGTGATAATTGTGAAATCTCGGCACAATATTAAATAATGGTATGACTATGACATTAAAAGTAAAAAGCGGGTACTAACATCGTTGCTGAGTGAGCATCTGATGCGTGTAGTGGTGCTCGGTGCGCTGTACGCGCTCCTGCTGCTGCACGAGATGTTCTCGTCGCTCAGTGTGCTGCTCGGTGCGCTGCTCGGAGCGCTGCTCGGAGCGCTGCTCCGACCACCTGCTTTGCTTTTCCATCACGCCGCCACAGCAGCACAACGCACAGAAAATAAAACTCTCACTCGACGCTACTGGTCCTTATCTTACAATAATAGTCGTTTCGACGGTCGCTCAAAAATAAATAAATACGCCACTGTGAAAAACTTATTCTAGTCCACGGGTTCATTTAGCAGAAGTCAAGTCATTATAACCCAAGTCCAACAACCAAGACGTCGGTCGATTGCGAATAGTTAGCGGATAGTGGCGAGGTGGCCAAGCGAGCGTTGCGCGTGCGTCGCGAGGGCGACGGCGGGGGGGCGGTGCGACCGAAATACTACGGGTTATTTAAAGCGCTCGCCTCCCGCGTGCCCCCTCCGAGAGCTTCGTCATCCAGATCCCACCTCCGCCAAGCAAAATCACCAGCAACTGCTTAAACGTACTATATGGGCTGATAAGTTTTTTTTTTTAATAGAAGAGGGCAGACGAGCTTGCGGCTAACCTGATGGTAAGTGTCGTCGTCTGCCACCCATGAACAACTGCAACACCAGGGAAATGGTAGAAGCGTTGCTGGCCTTTTAATAAGGAGTACGCTCGATTCGTGAAAGTCCCTAAATCGTATCAGACGATTCTAAAAAGAGATGGGAGAGGAAGAAAACTAGTAAATCGTACAGTGGTGGACTGCCCAGCAAACAAGTGGTGTGGATTGTATCGTAAATTTGTAGTAGTCGTAGTTGTAAAGTTCGAAGTCCTTTGAAAAAAAAAATAATTTTTATTAAATGGGATTTTTAGCGCTACTAAGAATAGACTCAGAATCCGCATTATGATTTAAATCTGATTTCATTTGTAACGCCACTTCATTAGCATGTAGAAATGGGGCAAACGGTACATTTGAAAACTACATATTTTATACAACTTAGCTCCAGGGGTCGCTTTTGAAAACCACCAGAAAGTTAGACTTGATAATATCACTATATATATAGTGATCATGATATTGTCATTATTATGATCATTGAGTGATCCATTTCTGCACAGTATTTCATCTTGGCTCGTACGGCCATCTTGCTTATTTCTGCCTTTAAGTAGAGGCACAGAATAAATAATAGTACAAGAAATGGGGCTTTTACGAAAGCATTATTACATTACATTAATTATAGATTTTTAAACATACCATCTCATTTGTAGACGCGTAATAGAAGCCGACACCCCATTTCGTCCCGTGGGCGTCATATTTTTGGGAAATACGAAAAAGATTGTTTATGTCTTTACCTGTGTTGCCTTCCCCCCCCCCCCCCCCGTGCTACGCCACTGGGCAGGGCTACAGTGAACGCATCAAAATTTCTCAGCTATGCTCTCTTAATTTTTACTTAGAAGTTAGATTTATGTGCGTTTATCGTGATGAAACACTTCCATTTCTAATTATTCACATAAGCCATTTTGTCTACTGTGTGCTTCAAGCTCGGCACCTGCCGTTGACGGTTTTGCGACGTAAAAGCTACGACATTGTTTCTAGTCGTGTTTTGCCTCTATTTGTAGAATTATTTACTGTCTTCTACACTTCGTGCTTTCTTGTCGTAATTGATCAGGTTTTAAAAGTTCGGTTTGGATTGATATAAAGATAATCACAAATAAGACTACGTACATTAGTTATTACCCTAATATTATGAACTACTTATCATGAATAAATATAAAAGTATTACAACAACATCAACTTATTATGAAACATATTTTTTCCAAATGGATTAAAACCAGCCTGTAATCAATTTCTTGTTTCTCAGCAATTTTATCAATATTGATATAATATCAAACTTCCACCCTTTTTGCCAGTATTATATCGACTAGCTAAAGTGTTTTTTATAGTATAAGGGTGACAAACGAGCACACAGCCCACCTGATGGTAAGTGGATGCTGTGACCCATAGACGTCTAAATTTATCCTCGATTAAGAATCTAAATGCACATGCGTTGTCACCCCTGAGGACTATGATAGAATGCCTCGTTTCCAGTAAAAATGGTTTCCTGTTCTCTACAGTCACCATACGAAACGCAGCAGCATTAAGCTGCTATTTCACGCTGGTATTCTGTGAGAGCATGGTCCTAGCCCGGTCAAGCCGACCCATTCGTGCTACAATCATAATTCGTGGCTCTAACACGTAAATTATTATTTTGCTCCTTTATTTTAAAAATAAGATTTTTGAAATTTACGAAGTGACTCGTCGCCAATATTGCTAAAAAAGTTATAATTAATGTTACAGTCTACATACGTCTCACTGCTGGGCACAGGCCACCCTTTATTTCTGAGAGTTTTAGGGCAAGGAAGTGCCCGACGCGCTGCCCTAATGCGTGTTGGAAACCTTCACAAGTCTTTGGAATATTTTTTTGAAATGTTATTTCTCAGACTGTTTTCCTTTTTCACCGAGCACGTGGTTAAAAGTGCAATTAACAATTGCAATTTTAAGTGGTTTCATTGGTGCTTTTCAAACCTGGGTTGCTCGTGTTACAATGTTGTGTAATATAAAAAATAAAACCACATAATTTAGTGGTTACTAATTATTTAATTACGCACACGTGCAACTCAATTCAATGAAGAGAGGGAGCACAGATTATTAACCGAAGATTATATTATATTGTGTTTGGATACACCACACCATAATATAGGTATTGGACGCAAGTCAAGCGCAGCGTTAAAGAAAAGACCATCAATTTCAACATCAACAACTACAACCACAAAAACGTCGGGGTTCTAAGCACGGTTCCACAAAATTGGCTTATGTTAATAACAAACATACAAATTATTTTATACATCTTTATTTGGATTAAATTAGACATACCTATGGTTAAAATTTGTCGGTTTTTGAATCACGCCATAGTTTCATTCCATCAAAACCCCAAAATATAGACGTGCCTATTACTTTTAATAATTTTAATTGATTTCGTGGCATTTTATACTCTCCAACGTAAGATTAGATGAGACTTGACTCGACCCCCCCCCCCCCCTAAACATCTCACGTAATTTATGGATGCCCCCTTAGCAGAAAATTTCTAGAAAACACGCGGTGGTGGATTGCTTACTATCAAGATGACGTGGATGAAATTAGGAATTATGCCGCAGTGTAGGTACAATGATGTAAGTGGCGATTGAAATTAACTCAAACATTTGCTCAGGGCGCTTCTCGTAAAAATGCAAAATATCTCCGCAATACCAGGACTTCCGTACAACAAGAAAACTCAGTCGTTGATTCAAGCTACTCCTCGAAGCAACTCATGAGCAGGCAATTATTAGGGACTGGAACTGGAAAAAGAAGGTGATAACGATGAGCCCGTAGTTTTAGAAATGTCATCTATACAAAAAAAAATTACCGACCTTTTTGTGAGAGTTAATTATTAACCAGATGAGGGCGAGGGCGTGTAGTTTATCGGTTACTTAGACACATGATGATTTTAAAGTTAATTTATTTTATTTTACTATTTCTTATTTATAATAATGAATGGCTCTATTAAAGGCTTATATATACTTTAATCGAAACACATTCGTTTTAATTTGTTAAAAAATTGAAACACCTAATTTAATACAAAAGAGTTTTCATTCCATGAAAAAAAAACGTTATTGTATAGCTGGCAATCTGGCCATTATAATGGTAAGCGAAAATTCAAAATTCGAAATTAGAATTTAATTTGTTTATCTTCTAAATGAAATGAATCACAATTTTGAGACAAATGTGTGTCTACAGTTGGAGACCATTTCACATTTAAAAACTAAAAATTTGCATTTATCTTTAACGTTTTTGTTTTTAATTAATTGTACTTTTTTAAGACGTCTGAAAAAAGTTTTATTTCCTGACACATATGGATACTTCACCAACAGAAGCCGCCCAAGTGGTGGCATTGCTGTATTCTGGATTTAGTCAGCGTGTTGTGGCTCAAACATTGCATCTAAGCCTGTCATCTGTTCATAGAGTCTACAACCGCTATTGAGAGACTAGTATGTTCACGCGCCGTTCTGGATCTGGCAGGAATCGGGTCACTTCCGAGAGAGATGATCGATTTATTGTATCAACTTCTTTACGAAACCGGTGCCTTAATGCATTTCAACTGCAGCAGCAGCTTCAAGTTGTACATAGGGTCACTGTAAGTGACTCTACAATTAGAAGAAGGTTGAAGGAACGTGGACTGGTACCACACAAGCCAACAAATGGACCGAAATTAACTGCAGACCATCGAGGAGCGCGCCTTAACTTTGCACGCGAGCATCTAAATTGGTCATACCTCCAATGGAGCAAAGTTCTTTTCTCTGATGAATGTAAAATATGCTCTATGGTAACGACGGAAGGAACAAGGTCTACAGAAGAGATGGAGAATGCTTTGCACATTGCTGCATTGAAGAAAGGGTCAGTTATGGTGGTGGTTCGTGGACGGTTTGGGGAGGAATCAGCGTCGACGGTAAGAGAGAGCTTGCCTTCGTGTCTGAGATACGTCTACCTGCTTTGAACTGTCATCGGTACGTGTAACAGTGCCTAGAGCCTCACGTGATTCCCTATGCATACTCTATCGGCAACGGGTTCACATTTATGCACGATAACGCCAGAGCCCACACCAAGAGCGTCGTACGTGATTACCTTACCGAAGTCGGTATCTCCATAATGGAATGGCCAGCAAGGAGCCCGGACATGAATCCAAATGAACATCTCTGGGATCAACTAAAGAGGCAAATCTGAGCGAGAGATCCTGCCCCAGACTCATTTGACCAGCTGAAAAGTGCCATTCAGGAAGAATGGAACAACATCCCACACCATGTCATCGTAACTCTAATCCGATCGATGAAAAATCGGATGGAAGCGGTGATAAGAGCTCGAGGAGGGAACACTAGTTATTAAACGTTATTTAATAAAAGTTTTTCAGTTTTTTTTTCACCTACGTGTGTTGTTTCATTCATTGCCTTCGTTCTCCATACAAAATAAAAATGACTCATTAAAGAAAACATGAAACCTATGAAAATTTAATTCGAATTTAGAACAAATAACATTAGAATTTGAAAACCTCATAAAAGTCACTATTAAGCGACAT